GGATTACCGTGCAATTCTTTTATGTGTTAGGAAAATACATGACGGTGGTATGGAGGTGGATTGAGGGAGGAGTGTCCTCTGCCGTTGGCACGAAGGCATCCCTATCTCTTAGGCGTAGTACGGTGTTGGGCGGAGTGTCTTCGCATCACCGAGTTTCCGGGCAGGACAGGGGCAAGGTGTGGCTACTAGAGCGACCCCTGTATACAGGGGGGTATGTAGCGCCTGGAAGGACGGAGAGATCAGATAAGGGCAGTCTCATGTCTGAGACACACTAGAGAAGGAAAGTGTTGTAGGAGTATGCGAGTGTGTTAGGAGCAGTGTGTTGGTTTTAAATCGCGATTATATATTTAGATTTTCCAACTATGAGGATATAACCAATAAGTGCAGGATACGGGGTTTCAGGTATCAGGGAGGTAGTAATGGTACGCGATTCAGTTGTATTCTCGATAGAATATATCTCAATGGTAGAAAGGATTTGATTAAACGCAGGGGAGAGCGATGTTAGAGAAAGTATAACGGTGTTTTGCAGATGAGCGTGTTGATAATGTAAGATGCACGGAAGAGATACTTATCAAGAGGGATTGCAGTAAATATCTGATCTGTGGTAGGGGAGGGGAGGTCAGGCAGAGCGATAGCTGTTCTTTAATTGGGAATTTATTTAGAGAAAAGTAAAGGGACGTGAAATGTCTTGCTAATTACTGTAGAACATAGGTTGTCAACACAAAAAATAAGATGGATCAGGAGACATAGGTGCTTTAGTTTGGTATCTGAGGGCTACTTTTTCATCACGGCACGGCTTGGCGGGCTTACTATCGGAGGTTATGTTACCGTTTCTTCCCTATACAGAAAATAAAAATTAGAAAAAATATAGGAGATCTCACAGTAGTTGGAAAAATTCGTGTAATTCCTATGAACTGTTGGCAGGAGATTCTAGGCGGCCGCAATATCTGAACGGTCATCGGACACAAGAGTAGGCATGCACAGTACGAAGGGCAGTTCAAAGACTGTGGAAATTTACTTCGATAGTTATATTGGGTTCTTGATGAGATAGAGACCCTAAGGTTAGCCTATAATGCGCCAATTTCGTTAGTGATTCTTCTCTCAGATAGAAGCAGATATGTGTTTGAAAGGAGATGATATGTGGTTCTAGGACTATATGCGACGGTAAAGTAGATGAACTAGACTATACCAAGGACTACGCATCAATGGGGGATGTCATGTTATAGAATAATCTTGGCAATATGAATAGAGGCACACAATAAAGTGATTACAGCATGCTCTATTTGGTCCTGTCTCTGGACGAGGAGAAAAGTGAGGTGTAGCTGAACATATAGTAGACTACTATCAACAGTAATCCTCCTGGGTTCCGTTTTCAGGTTTTGGAGAAGAAATCATAAAAGTACACAGGAAAGGAAGGAAGGAAAGCAACATAAATAAGCAGAAGGGTAATGTAAGGTGCGAGCTGGGTCCAGTGTGAATTTCACAGTCTACGCAGTAACTCAGTCTATGATTTGTTTGCAATCGAGAGTACAAGGAAAAAGAGTATTATGAAACGAGGAGAAATAGGAGAATGGATAATTTTCTATAGAGTAGACAGAAAACTGAATTATCTAAAGAGAGGGTTGAGGTGTAAGCTAGGATATCGCGGGTTTTGGACGCTATCTCGAAGTATAGTCATGGGTAACTGAGTATAAAGCTTGTTATTACACTAAATCTTTTGGGATCTCTGTGTAGGTAATTAGTATACCTGTGAGAGCACGCGCGTTCATTGTGAGTATGTCGGGAATTTTACGATCCAGAAGGTATACTCTTTATCTTATGCGCTCTTCATCTTCTGCTTTTTTTGGAGAGTTGCTTGTTCTGATATAATCTTGTAAGCGATTTATATTCATTTTCTTACTTTTCAAGTTTTTAGTCATTTGCGGGGCTCTTTGCCTCGGCATGGCTTTTGGGTAGCACTATATACATAAACAACAATTTCCACTTCTGGTATGGGTCCTCACATAGAGAGTTACCTCACAATATGTGTTTGCAGTAGCACTTATGACTAGGAGCGGCAGGGGAAGGAAGATTGGGTATTGTGGAGTGGTGTATGTTCTGTTTGAGGGGGAGGACAATAAGCGATGAATAGTAGTATAAGGGACGAGAGGAATAATCCAAAGACTGTGCAGTAAGAGATGGAGAGGAGAATTTGGGTGAGAGGAGGGTGTATTCTGGAGGTTGAGTAATACTGATCTGGGTTGTGTCTCTTTTGTGAAACTGCGATCTAGAGTTGTCCTCAGCTTCCATACACTCAATTGATGGGGTATTAAGCTCATCAGCGTCAGACTCATGCCATCGCGTCTCATTTAGGTCTGGTCGGCAATTATTCTGGCTTCACAAAGAACTCCACCAACAATCCCTTAATTCTAGATTCGGTATTTCTTCTACTTCGCTTGAATTACGTTGTCACTTGCCCCTTATTGACCTTTTTAAGTGGTAAAATATACTCGATCCTTCAATACTCATGGGCATGGTGAGCTCTCGAATTAGAACTATTACTCTGTGGAACCGAGAACAGTCCACTAAGGGTCAAAAAGGGATAAGGCAATTAAACAAGATCGAATCACAGTCTCACATGCCCATGCGCTCCTTATGCCTGATATTCTATATCAAGACAGACCAAAGCCAGTAAAAATCTTTAAGCTGGCTTCATCCTTACAAAAGGGACCGAAGAAGTCGAGGCTTTGACAGAAAGATATCGCGAAGAGGAATACCTGACGCACTGAAGAAGACAACGCTCAAAATTGTTACTTGAAGTCGTATAGACTGAATAGTCCACCTAAAGGTATAGGGGTGATCCTCATACCCTTTGGAGACCTCAGTCTCTGTCTCCTATCAACCTTATCATCGAAACAGCAAATTGACGTGCGTAGAGGTTTTGATATAGCTGGAAGGGCATTTAGAATGGCGAGCGATAGAACACATTTGTCTATATAACCTGTTTATATTTAAAAGGAAGAACATTTACTTATTTTGGCACTCTTATATCAAATAGCTCGAGAATTTTTTACACGTACACGTACTTCGCATTAGACTGAATAAAGGCATCGTCATTAATTATTCACACTGGTCTCAATAATATCTTCGAAAAGAGAATTATGATATTCTTAAGTAAACTCAGAAACCCGCACATATTTTACCTCTTACCCCGGTGGTCAACTTACTATTGAAGATACATCAGTACTTGGTGAAAAAAAATAAACGTTTCAATTTTTTCTGTGGTCTTGTTCCTCTCTGCGTTATTGTGCGGAGTGTTATCGTTGGAGCGTGCTCCGCGAAAAGCGGCGGGCGGCCGGAAGCCGGGCGGAAGCTCCTCGGGGATAGTCCGCCGCGAATTTGTGCTTCCGGTATTCTTCTTCAAAATCGATATTATTTGGGCTACATAAATGATAACCGAGAGGTGGGTTTAATTAGAATAGGATAGCGTAAAACTAGTATTTTCAATGTTGGGAGCAAGTGTTGAGGCGGAGAATAGGGAAGAATTACTCACGATCATATCTACTATTAACCATAATTTAAGAAATAAAAAAAAAGAGAGGTTGTTTTTTATACATTCGAACATTTATAAAAGCTTGCATAATGTGAAGATCATGTTTTAAATTTAAGTTTGTTTCGTAGTGTGCTGCATAAGTGTTAAATTGTATCTTGTAATATTGATCCCTCCTTATCCTCTCCAAGTTCATGAAAGCGGATGAAGGGGGGGTACTTGTTTCGTGGATATGTATAGTGGGAGTCTCAATGTGACAAGGCCTTCATGTATTGCGCTAGGTCTCTGCTTCACTTAATTACGTCTACACTATGAAATTTTGTTTTCATTCTTTATATATGAACATCTATGGATGTAAGAGGTCAAGGAATCCTTTATTTCAGCATATATAAAAACGTAGAGGAGGAAAATGTACTTAAGGGGGATAACAGTAAGAATAGTCACAAAAACTGCTGGAATCTGCGAAACAAAGGAGATTTAAATATTAAAAATATGGCAATGTTGACAATTGTCAGATAAGCACTAGAGACAGTACATTCCTTAGAAGGTATCTACAAAACAGCTAGTACATAGAGTGATGTAATGGAGGAGGAAATATGGAAATGCACCACTATAGGACAAGTGAAACATAAGCGAATTTCGATAAAATTAACCATTAAGATTCTATTAATTTTGGGTATAGTTAGAGGTCTTGATCAAAACATGGGCTTCTACATAAATCAGGATGGTCTCTAATATGAACAAATATTCCTGAGATTGGTATTCTTTGTCATACTTCATATACAAATATTGTCTTTTTTAACTTACATAGTGCAATGGAAGTCTTATTTATAACCACAGAATCATAGATAAACATCATCAGTTCAGTGCTGCTTTAGGAATGACAATAATTGCTAGTTCCCCTTATAATGTGCATAATCATAGTAGTCCATAATATATTTTTAAATATCTTAAATATCATGATGTTATGATGCTAATTACTAAAATATAATAATATCCTGTTAAGGCGTCTAAGATAGGAAGGGATTATTAAAGGGTAAGATATGTTAGTATTTCTATATGGCGTACAGAAGAAAGTGCAAAGACTGAACATATTTGATTAGCACACTGAAACTATCGGGTAATCGCGTGTGTGATTAAGGGAATTAAAAGATGAAAAAAGGTGTTCTAAAAATAGCACAGGAAGATCTCTCTGAGAGAGTTAATGCAGCAAGCTCAACAAAGAGGAAGAGCTAAAGTGGTGGAAGGATAAAATTTAAGGAATGAATCGATAAATATGAATGGATCTGTAAAGAGAGAGAAAGATATGTTGTTCAACAGCATTAACACCCATCAGCCACTGTCTATCGGACAATTACTGGAACCTCGAGCAGTGACAGCAAACCTCAACTTTGTGATTTCGGAAGTAACGAGCTTGTAAATCAAAACTCAAAGTCACGGAGGCCATAACCATTGCTTTAACAGTGAATAG